AGATCCATTCACACAATCAACCTTCCTAGCTATCGACCCTCTCAACCATCCACCGGCCCCAGCGACCCACAACCTTACCACCCAGCCATGTAACAGTTCATCTGCCGCCCCAGCTATTCACCCTATCCCAGCTTTCTAAACATCCACCCAGCTATATCCACATACAACCCGCTTCATATCCATTAGCCCAGCTATCAAAACACCCACACACAGCTATCAAAACACCCACACACAGCTATCAAAACACCCACACCCAGCTATCAAAACACCCACACACAGCTATCAAAACACCCACACACAGCTATCAAAACACCCACACACAGCTATCAAAACACCCGCACACAGCTATCAGAACACCCACACCACAGCTATCAAAACACCCACACCACAGCTATCAAAACACCCACCCAGCTATCAAAACACCCACACACAGCTATCAAAACACCCACACCACAGCTATCAAAACACCCACCCAGCTATGAAAACACCCACCCAGCTATGAAAACACCCACCCAGCTATCAAAACACCCACACCACAGCTATCAAAACACCCACCCAGCTATCAAAACACCCACACACAGCTATCAAAACACCCACACCACAGCTATCAAAACACCCACCCCAGCTATCAAAACACCCACCCCAGCTATCAAAACACCCACACACAGCTATCAAAACACCCACACCACAGCTATCAAAACACCCACCCCAGCTATCAAAACACCCACCCCAGCTATCAAAACACCCACACCACAGCTATCAAAACACCCACACCACAGCTATCAAAACACCCACACCACAGCTATCAAAACACCCACACCACAGCTATCAAAACACCCACCCCAGCTATCAAAACACCCACACCACAGCTATCAAAACACCCACCCCAGCTATCAAAACACCCACCACAGCTATGAAAACACCCACCCAGCTATCAAAACACCCACACCACAGCTATCAAAACACCCACCCCAGCTATCAAAACACCCACACCACAGCTATCAAAACACCCACACCACAGCTATCAAAACACCCACCCCAGCTATCAAAACACCCACACCACAGCTATCAAAACACCCACACCACAGCTATCAAAACACCCACCCCAGCTATCAAAACACCCACACCACAGCTATCAAAACACCCACCCAGCTATGAAAACACCCACCCAGCTATCAAAACACCCACACACAGCTATCAAAACACCCACACCACAGCTATCAAAACACCCACCCAGCTATGAAAACACCCACCCAGCTATCAAAACACCCACACACAGCTATCAAAACACCCACCCCTAGGTACCCCCACACACACACACAACCCGCTTCCTATCCAGTCACCCAGCTACCCAAACATACCTCCAGCTCCCCGATCCATTAGCCACCAGCCCGGCCGCCAATTAACTCGCCAACGGACTGCGATCCAGGAATCCCGGACCACTGGCTACCAGCGCCTCCCCCAGGACCTCGGTGGCAGCCGTGACCACTGACTGACACCGCGAGAAGGGTCTAAGATCTTAAAAAAGTATGCATCTCCATACGTTATCATTACTCTTATAAACAAACTCAACCCAACCGCACCTAGCCTAAGGCGACCGAACATAGCCTAAGGCGACCGAACATAGCCTAAGGCGACCGAACATAGCCTAAGGCGACCGAACATAGCCTAAGGCGACCGAACATAGCCTAAGGCGACCGAACATAGCCTAAGGCGACCGAACATAGCCTAATCTGATTAATTTTAATATTTTGGTGAGGATGAGGTGTGTGAGACATCACACTGGCGTCAAAAATGTTCTTGCCGGTACAGGTTTTGGACCCTACTGGGTCGGAGACGTCATATTTGAAAGTTTGGGTGGAGAGACATCACTTGGCGACCCCGAGGTGTGCCGGGACGCAGGAGGAAGCAGCGTAATTAGAGGTATGCGGGCGAGCTCCGGCGTGCTGAGAATATCATGCCCAGTGGGTGTGTGGGAGCTGCTTTATGTTTGTGGCAGCGGGCTTTTGTGTGTCTGTGAGGAAATTATCATACCGGTAACACTTGACAAACAATGTGAGAAATTGATGAGGTCATGGTAAGGGATCGAACTCTCAGTCTTGATCGAGCTCCCAAGACACCCCCCCCCTCCCACTCACACACACTATCGACTAGTAGTACTTCTCAGTGAGGTACTATTGGGTTCATCGTGGTCACATCAGTGGTGCGTGTACCTGGAGAGTCAAGAGACTCGGGTTCGATCCCATTTTACTGCCTCAGTATCCAGCCCGTCCTTCAAACAAAGACCCAAAACTGATTCCATGCACCCGCCAAACTCCCTGGTGTTTATGAATGAAAAACGGTTTACACACGATTCACAACTGATGATGTTCGAACACTTCCAGAACAAGTGTTTCACTCACGAATTTTGTTCTAACCACAACGCTATAAATGCTTCACCCACGTACTAAAAATACAAATAATCGCCAACAGAACCTAAACACCTAACCTAACCTACCCCTATATATACACAATATACTAATATATTATAATATTAATTTATATTTGAGAAAATTCCCATTTTGAATTAACAGCATGTAAAAAATTTTGAATGCGTCTGTGGGGTCGACCGCTGGATGTAATGGACTTGAGTCGAGGACGGGTTGCAGTATCTCCTCGTAGGCGTTCTTGTGACTGTTGCAATAATAACGTTTCTTGGCAATGGAGAAAAAAGGAGTTTGGGGGGTAATTTTGCTACGATTGTCATCTGGTAATTGCCTCTACAAGGAATCGGGTAATTTTGTGGTTGTCTTGCATAGTTGTACATCACTTTATACCCTTCAGATATCCACCACGCTGTCGAATTATCTTTTCTTTTTTTTACATTGATTTGGGTTAAAGTACAGGAGAGATACCTGCTACTGATGATTGTATCTTGTTTGTTCATAGCCTCCTGTAATTTTGCTCATAGCTAGCTGTAGTTTGTTCATAGCTTGCTGTAGTTTGTTCATAGCTTGCTGTAGTTTGTTCATAGCTTGCTGTAGTTTGTTCATAGCTTGCTGTAGTTTGTTCATAGCTTGCTGTAGTTTGTTCATAGCTTGCTGTAGTTTGTTCATAGCTTGCTGTAGTTTGTTCATAGCTTGCTGTAGTTTGTTCATAGCTTGCTGTAGTTTGTTCATAGCTATGTTGAAGTTATCTTGAGATGATTTCGGGGCTTAGCGTCCCCGTGGCCCGGTCCTCGACCAGGCCTCTTTTTTGTTACCCCCCCCCCCCAGGAAGCAGCTTTAGCAGCTGTCTAACTCCCAGGTACCTATTTACTGATAGATGAACAGGTGCATCAGGGTGAAAGAAACATTTTCCCCATTTGTCTCCGCCTCCACCGGGGATCGAACCCGGAACCTCAGGACTACGAATCCGAAGCGCTGTCCACTTAGCTGTGAGGCGCCCTCACAGCTGGGTGGACAGCTTGCTGTAGTTTGTTCATAGCTACCTTGAAGTGTTTCCGGGGCTTAGCGTCCCCGCGGCCCGGTCGTCGACCAGGCCTCCTCGTTGCTGGACTGGTCAACCAGGCTGTTTGACGCGGCTGCTCGTAGCCTGACGTATGAATTACAGCCTGGTTGATCAAGTATCCTTTGGAGGTGCTTATCCAGTTCTCTCTTGAACACTGTGAGGGGTCTGCCAGTTATGTCCCTTATGTGTAGTGGAAGCGTGTTGAACAGTCTCGGGCCTCTGATGTTGATAGAGTTCTGTCTCTCAGAGTACCTGTTGCACCTTTACTTTTCAATGGGGGTATTCTGCACATCCTGCCATGCCTCCTGGTCTCATGTGATGTTACTTTTGTGTGCAGGTTTGGGACCAGCCCCTTTAATATTTTCCACGCATAAATTATTATGTATCTCCCCCGCCTGCGCTCAAGAGAATACAGATTTAGGCTCTTTAGTCGGTCCCAGTAGTTTAGATGTTTTACTGAGTGGATTCTAGCAGTAAATTATCTCTGGACGGTCTCCAGGTTAGTGTAATAACCCGAACTGCTCTTCCCTTACCCTTCCCTCAATACCGCAACTTAACACTGCTTGCAGAACCACTGTGACCTCTCACTGAACTGCAGCTAAATTAACTCTGAAGTATTAAATGAGGGGGGAAGCAACAACTGGAGGATCACTTTTTCCAGCTTTGAAAGAGGCTGTCATTGTACGGAAGTATGCCACTCTAGAGAGCATTAGCGGCTTGAAAAAGTATCATCATCGGTATAGCATTTCTAGTGTGTAAGGGTCTTGTTATCCAACCTGTCATTTTTCTTGCAGTTGTGACGGCTACTTTATTGTGTTCTTTGAAGGTAAGGTCTTCCGACATGAGTACACCCAGATCCTTTACATTGCCTTTTCGTTCTATGTTATGATTTGACTGAGTTTTGTACGTGGTTCCCGTTTTATATTTTCATTTTTTCCGTAGCGCATGAGCTGGAACTTATCTTCGTTAAACATCATATTATTTTCTGTATCCCATAGAAAGACCTGATTTACGTCTGATTGGAGGTTTGCCGTGTCCTCTATGTTGTCTACTCTCATAAAAATCCTAGTGTCATCTGCAAAGAATGATACAGTACTATGGCTTGAGTCCTTGTCTATGTCCGATATGAGGATGAGAAAAAGTACTGGAGCAAGAACAGTACCCTGGGGGACTGAGCTCTTCACGGTTGATGGACCGGATTTTATTTTATTGAATATTACACATTAGGTTCTATTAGTCAGGAAATTGTAGATCCATCCCGCCAAACACGCAGCGAAACTACGACGTTGGTACAACGTTCGAACAAGTTTTAACACCTCCCTAACCAGTTATAACAACCAATATAGCAAGTTGTAACAACGTTCTAATACGTCATAGACATGTTAAGCCAAGATGTAACAACTTTATTACAAGTTGTAACAAGCGGAAAATAGAGATAGTTTCGGTTTGTGTTTCCAGGGATCTGCCTATTTTTCCGGTAATTCCTTTTGAACGCATCTTATGTGTAATAACTAAATGGTCACATTTGTCAAAGGCTTAGCTTGCTGTTGTTTGTTCATAGCTTGCTGTAGTTTGTTCATAGCTTGCTGTAGTTTCTTCGTAGCTTGCTGTAGTTTGTTCATAGCTTGCTGTTGTTTGTTCATAGCTTGCTGTTGTTTGTTCATAGCTTGCTGTTGTTTGTTCATAGCTTGCTGTAGTTTGTTCATAGCTTGCTGTTGTTTGTTCATAGCTTGCTGTTGTTTGTTCATAGCTTGCTGTAGTTTCTTCGTAGCTTGCTGTAGTTTGTTTATAGCTTGCTGTTGTTTGTTCATAGCTTGCTGTAGTTTCTTCGTAGCTTGCTGTTGTTTGTTCATAGCTTGCTGTAGTTTCTTCGTAGCTTGCTGTTGTTTGTTCATAGCTTGCTGTAGTTTCTTCGTAGCTTGCTGTTGTTTGTTCATAGCTTGCTGTTGTTTGTTCATAGCTTGCTGTAGTTTGTTCATAGCTTGCTGTAGTTTGTTCATAGCTTGCTGTTGTTTGTTCATAGCTTGCTGTTGTTTGTTCATAGCTTGCTACAGTTCAAATGTGATGACCTTCCGTGCTCCGGAAGGTGAACACAGCAAGGATGGAGTCCCCGAGGTCCTGAGGGAAGACGAGTAAGGGCGAAGGTTTGACGAGAGAGACGGTGACAGAGGTAAAAATATTTTAATAGAAAGTTATGGGATAAGATTGATTAGGTTAGGCTAGATTAGCATAAAATAAGATAGGCTAGGTTCGTTAAGATTAAGGATAGGCTATCTTGGGGTTAGATTAGGTTAGGCTATGTTACGTTAGCTTAGGTCAATCTATGTTAGGTTAGGTTTGGTGAGGTATACGAACGAAGCATTTAGCAAGAAGGCGAATCTTTGTAGATATTTGACAAGCAACCGGCTTCCTGTCACCGTCAAGGCCGCGAGAGAGAGAGAGAGAGAGAGAGAGAGAGAGAGAGAGAGAGAGAGAGAGAGAGAGAGAGAGAGAGAGAGAGAGAGAAAGTAACTGACACATGCAGGTATATTCAGATATACTGCCCTTATGAGAGGCTAGAAGCCTTAATAACTAGTACAGCAGGGAAGGTTTTTCTTTTCTCAAGACCTAACTTCTGCATGAAGAAATAAACAATCACACAGCAGCACTAGTCACACAGCAGCACCAGTCACACAGCAGGAGCAGTGTATGAAAGAGAGAGTCTGATTGATCAGACCACCAACCAGGAGTCCTGCTCCGTGACCGGGCCCCCCGGAAACGTTGATCCTCGGAAACAAGGAAAGTGCATAACCGCAAGGTAACGAACCCGCCTCCACGACGCTCCAGCCTCCACGCTCTCAGGAAGTGTCCCGAAAGGGAAACTGACGAAAAGTAATGAGAAATAGTCACCTCGGCCCCACCTGTTGGCAGGGACTCGCTTCCGACACCCACGCAGCCGTCACCTGTCGACACAAACTCGCTTCTGACGCCCACACGCTGTCACCTGTCGACACAAACTCGCTTCCGACGCCCACACGCTGTCACCTGTCGACACAAACTCGCTTCCGACGCCCACACGCTGTCACCTGTCGACACAAACTCGCTTCTGACGCCCACACGCTGTCACCTGTCGACACAAACTCGCTTCTGACGCCCACACGCTGTCACCTGTCGACACAAACTCGCTTCTGACGCCCACACGCCGTCACCTGTCAACAGAGGCCCGCTGCCGTCACCTACGCGCTGTCACTTATCGACACAAACTCGCTTCCGACGCCCACGCACTGTCACCTGTCCATAGAGGCCCGCTCCCATCCCCCACGCGCTGTCACCTGTCGACAGAGGCCCGCTCCCATCCCCCACGCGCTGTCACCTGTCGACAGAGGCCCGCTCCCACCCCCCACACGCTGTCACCTGTCGACAGAGGCCCGCTCCCACCCACCACGCGCCGTCACCTGTCGACAGAGGCCCGCTCCCATCCCCCACGCGCTGTCACCTGTCGACAGAGGCCCGCTCCCATCCCCCACGCGCTGTCACCTGTCGACAGAGGCCCGCTCCTATCCCCCACACACTGTCACCTGTCGACAGAGGCCCGCTCCCATCCCCCACGCGCCGTCACCTGTCGACAGAGGCCCGCTCCCATCCCCCACGCGCTGTCACCTGTCGACAGAGGCCCGCTCCCATCACCCACGCGCCGTCACCTGTCGACAGAGGCCCGCTCCCACCCCCCACGCGCTGTCACCTGTCGACAGAGGCCCGCTCCCACCCCCCACGCGCTGTCACCTGTCGACAGAGGCCCGCTCCCATCCCCCACGCGCTGTCATCTGTCGACAGAGGCCCGCTCCCGTCACCCACGTGTCGTCGAAGCCTGCTGACCGCACGTGCATAACAACGCTCGGAAGATCACATTAAGATTCTCCAGCGGGACTTAAAGAGGTCGGGCAAGACGATTGGTTAGCGGGCGGCGGTGGCAAGTCGTTAGGGACCAATTAGGCTGTCCTTAAGCCGTGTTTGAGCGCTCATTTGGTGCTTGGTCACAGTGATGAACCATAGAGGGATAAATTAGCGTATCCACTTACGAAATCAGTACATCTTTCAACCAACATGACGGCTTTGTTTAATGAAACAGTTAAACGAGCTCCGAAGGACCGTACGAGGTTGTTTATAACTATAACAACCTTGGGTTGTGATGTTTCCAAGGCTCGTACACTTTTTGTTATAAGTAAATAAAGCTCATATGATTGTTGGAAGATGTACTGGTTTCGTAAATGCTTGATAAATCCTGGCTTCAGCAAAGAAAGTGGAAGGGGGGGGGGCTTAGGGTAGTAAGCCCTAAATGCATGAAACATGCTGAGCTAAGTATACCAAGGCAGTTAAGCCAGGCAATCTAATTAAGCCAGATAAGCCGCATAATCAAGGTAGGTAAATTAAATCAGCTGAGACGTCCAATCCAGGTAAGCTAATTTAATCAGGAAAGATGATTAGGCCAGGTACGCTATTAAAGGCAGGTACGTAAGCCAGGTATGACAATTAAGCCAGGTAAGACAATTAAGCCAGGTATGACAATTAAGCCAGGTAAGACAATTAAGCCAGGTATGACAAGCCAGGTATGACAATTAAGCCAGGTATGACAAGCCAGGTATGACAAGCCAGGTAAGACCATTATTTGCAGTAAGCCATTAAGCACGGTAAACTAATTAAGCCAGTTAACCACAATAGGCAGATGCATTTACTAAGCCAGATGACTGAATGTGTATTAAAGCCATCCACTTCAGATAAACCGATAAAAAACTACCTGATCGAATCTAGCTATATATGTTCTTATTAAGTCACATAGGTAAGCTATTAAGACATTAAGTGTGTTGATTAAGCCTTTTTTGTGAGTCAATTAAGGCATTAATGTGTGCTTAATAAACCATTATCTATGTCAATCAAACCATTATCAACAAGTAGTTAAGTAATTAAGTCTGCTAATTAAGCCTTTATCTAAGATAATAAAGTCATTAAGTCTGCTAATTAAACCCTTACAGTACACTAAATAAACCACTAATATATACTAATTAATAATTAATTAATCCAGGTAATCAAACGGTAATCCAGGTCATGGAACGAGGTGGGCAAAGTGAAAAGCCAGCTGATGAAAACGGGTAAGCCAGATATGTGTTGATATAGTTATATAGTTAGTGTTTATATATGTATAGTTAGTCAGATATGAGTTTATATATCAATAGTTAGGACCGTCATTGTTCACCTATCCAGTGTGGTTCTTCCCCTTTGTAAGACGAACCAGCACATCTGTATCCGACCCGCCCTCAGGCCAAGTCCATTCCATCCAGCGGTCGACCCCAAGAGACGCATTCATCAATGTTAACATGCTGCTCATTCGAAATAGGAACTTTCTCATATGTAAATTAATATTATTATATATTAGCATATTGTGCATATTTAGCCATGGGTTAGGTTAGGTGTTTAGGTTCTGTTGGTGATTATTTGTATTTGTAGTACGTGGGTGAAGCATTTATAGCGTTGTGATTCGAACAAAATTCGTCAGTGAAGCACTTGTTCCGGATATGTTCGAACTTCAGCAGTTGTGAGTCGTGTGTAAATCGCCTTTCATTCATAAACAGGTGGTTTGGCGGGTGCATGGAATCACTTTTGGATCTTTGTTTGGAGGACGGGCTGAATGAACTTGAGTCGAGGACGGGTTGTCGTTCGAACACTTCCAGAACAATTGCTTCACTGACGAATTTTGTTCGAACCACAACGCTGTAAATGCTTCACCCACGTATTCAAATAGAAATAATCGCCAACAGAACCTAAACACCTAACCTAACCTATGCCTATATATGCCCATTATGCTAATATATTATAACATTAATTTATATTTGAGAAAATTCCCGTTTTTAATTAACAGCATGTAAAAAATTATGAATACGTCAGTGGGGTCGACCGCTGAATGTAATGGACTTGAGTCGAAAACGGGTTGGTGAGTCGTGTGTAAACGGTTTTCATTCATAAACAGGGGGTTTGGCGGGTGCATGGAATGACCTTTTGCCTTTGTTTATGAGGACGGGCTGCTGCTGTATTGGGGTTGCCCTAGTATAACGAACCAGCACCCCTTCATTTATGAGATATGTTCCAGAGATCAAAGATTGCCGCAGCATCTCGAGCTTGTCTTTGAACCTCCTGACTCCATTACCGAACCGTCAATAAAGAAAAACGCATCACTCGTTCACTTAATATCGAACCTCACGAACCAATAAAACTTAACCACTGTTCCTACTGTACCATTAATTAAGTTAATTAACTATAATGGTACAATAAAAATGGTTTTCACCTTTTACTGAGTGGCTGTTTTGGTAAGTCAGTAGTGAGATATAAGGAGACGAAGCATTGCGAAATCTAGTGTTCACAGCTGGGAGTCGAAGGCGGTTTTGAACGAGCACAATCAAACAATCCCTCCCTCACCAGTCTCCCGAAAGAGCTAATTTCTAATTGGGTATATAACCCTTGCAGGCCAGCGTGTTATTGGACGCGTTCCAGACCCCAACATTCAGTTCTCATTGGTTGACTCAGGTGGTGGGGGGGGGGGGGGGGAGGACGCCTGATTGGCCAGCTGTTTCCAGGAAGTCAAGGTATGCAAGAGGTTTATTATTCGTTCCTTAAGCCCCTCTTGCTCTCGGCGCTACGAAAGGCAACTGGCTGTCAGTGGGTTTTGTGAGCCGGATGCTGCAGGCCTGGTCTTTTGTGAGCCGGATGCTGCAGGCCTGGTCTTTTGTGAGCCGGATGCTGCAGGCCTGGTCTTTTGTGAGCCGGATGCTGCAGGCCTGGTCTTTGTGAGCCGGATGCCTCAGGCCTGGTCTTTGTGAACCGGATGCCTCAGGCCTGGTCTTTGTGAGCCGGATGCTGCAGGCCTGATCTTTGTGAGCCGGATGCTGCAGGCCTGGTCTTTTATGAACCGGATGCAGCAGGCCTGGTCTTTGTGAGCCGGATGCTGCAGGCCTGGTCTTTTATGAACCGGATGCAGCAGGCCTGGTCTTTGTGAGCCGGATGCCTCAGGCCT